CCCCAAAACCCCAAAACCCCAAAACCCCAAAACCCCTTTAGGTGAAGTCTTTGTTGATGCCAAAAATATAATTTAATGATAGGAAATTATTGATAATGAGGTTGATAGAGGTCTTCATTCATTCGATTCTCATCATTCATATCTTGATTAGTTCTATCAACACCATCAATAGTCTTAGGATGTTTATACTTTTTCTTCATTATTCGTATCTTTCTCTTCCCTGACCCACTACTCGCCTTAGTAGAGGCGATATTATTCCTGATTTCCTTCTCCTTTTCAGGCATGTAATAATTGTTTAAATAGTGGTTGACTCTAAGGTCGTTTTGATGTGAGGCTTCCTCAAATATCCTTCGGAAGGCCTCTCTGTCACGATTCTCTTTAATAATTTTATTATTTTTATCAAACTCTATCTTTTCGTTTGCTATTGACTCATATTTTTGGTCTATTAACCTTCTCTGTTTTTCTTGCTTTCTCTGCTCGTTTAGGCCCTGAAGAAACATCTGTTGTCTTCTTCTTTGGAGCTCCTTTGCTTCAACTTGGTGTTGCCACAAGTTACCACTTCTGCGAAGGTTTTGGCTGTTTTCTTCAAAATGTGCAATCGGATTACTCTTATTATACAATTGCCCAAGACCACCTTGGCTCTGAGATCGAGGTTGGATGTTCAGAACTGGAACTTTGACTTTAGTGTCTATATTGAGGAAGGAACGGTACTCTCTTGAAGTTCATTCTGATTCCGATCCAATGTTTGATTAAAATTAGCCTTATTTCCTCCGGAATTGTATAGCTCTAGAGGCTCTCTTCTGTGTCTTTGAGGAGTAAGCGAAGCTAGTTTTCTCTGTACTGATAAGTTATTGTGATTATGATCCTAAAATTCAAGCAACTATATTACATCAATTATTGGCATTTGTTGATAATTGCCATTATTGGCACTTTGAATGTTCTGATCCTCATTATTTTTCATAATATGAATGATAACTTTGGTTTTCTAGATCTTCCTGAACAGCTGGTGCAGTATTCATAATCATATTATTATAGTTTTGTCCACCTAATCTGCTCATACTGGAGCCTCGATTCTCGTTATTTCTTGATCTCTCTATGGGGTTTTCACAATTATTAAAAGTTGCAGGATCTCTAGGAGGTTCAATGTTATTTCTAATATGTCTCATAGGATTCCTTGGAGGCTTCTGGCTTAATTTATTCCTATCAAACATGCTTTGGCTATTCAGATGGTTCTCTGATCCTAAAAATTACATATGAATTCAGAAATTTTCAGAATTTGAGAGAAGACTCGAATACCTACCATTCTCTTGACGATATTTCATAACTGCATTGGAAGGGCTATCAAACAATATGGGAGAATTCATGTTCTGGTTAAACGAGGAATTCTTATTAAACATTCTCTTGCCAGTCTTCTTCTTGTTCTGTGTAAGTTTGTATTGAATAAATTTGGAATTATTGTAGTAATCTGCAGAAGGTGAATCCAAATTCATTGACCCTAACTTTTGAGCATCAATAAATTTATCTCTATTATTAAAATCATAGAAATTCTTCCCAGCTGGTGGTAACACCTGAGGGTTAGTTTTCTGGATATTATTTTAGGTTTCGAGCCTTCTCCCCTCTCTTCTCATCAGAGAATAAGTCAGAATGCAAAATTTGATAGCTTGATTTTATTTTATATGGGTTATTTATATCAGGAGCCATCTATGAAAAGCTTAGATTAGTATTTACCTCATCATGCTCTAACCGATGCTGGTCTCGATCTGGGAATCTTTTCTTCCTCTGGTATTTCACAGGATAACTATTCACAATTGCAGCAGTTGTTGCTTCTATAGGATGCATCTTTTCTATAATAAAATTGATAAAATTAAAAATTAAAGAGAATGTGACAGTTTGGAATTAGACATCTCCATTATGGAATTTGATGAAAGTATGGTCACGAATTGGTGTAATTTGGATTTTATGATTTTCTAATGGTTCTCACATGGCTATCACCATATTATTTTACTACCTTTCTGTTAAAAACTTAAACCAGATATTCAGTCTATTTCAAATATTTCAGGTTATAATAATTGAAATCAAACTGAGCTGGTCTAATTACAACAACTACCTGTGGTACCAAATGCTCAGATATTGTCTGTTTGTTGTCAAAAGACATTTCTTACCTTAATAATTTATAAATATATATTATTTACTTAAAACTCTGATTTAGTTGCGGGGTTTTGGGGTTTTGGGGTTTTGGGGTTTTGGGG